CATAAAGGGGGATTCACATATTTGGATATAATTGGAAATAAAAATAATTCAAGAGGATTAATAAAAAAACAAATATTTCAGAAAAAATCGAAAAATATTTTTTTTCGTATAGAAAAAAATTCGACAAAAATTTTTTTTCGTATATAAAAAAAATTCGACAAAAATTATTTTTTGGTATAGAAAAAAAATTCGACAAAAATTTTTTTTCGTATAGAAAAAAAATTCGACAAAATTTTTTTTTCGTATAGAAAAAAAATTCGACAAAATTTTTTTTTCGTATAGAAAAAAAATCGACAAAAATTTTTTTTCGTATAGAAAAAAAAATTCGACAAAATTTTTTTTTCGTATAGAAAAAAAATTCGACAAGAATTCTTTTTCGTATAGAAAAAAAATTCGACAAGAATTCTTTTTCGTATAGAAAAAAAATTCGACAAGAATTCTTTTTCGTATAGAAAAAAAATTCGACAAAATTTTTTTTTTCGTATAGAAAAAAAATTCGACAAAATTTTTTTTTCGTATAGAAAAAAAATTCGACAAAATTTTTTTTTCGTATAGCAAAAAATCGAAAAAAATTTTTTTTCGTATAAAAAAAATCGAAAAATATTTTTTTCGTATAGAAAAAAATTCGAATGGTCCCTTGGGAATATTTTTTTCGTATAGAAAAAAATTCGAATGGTCCCTTGGGAATATTTTTTTCGTATAGAAAAAAAATTCGACAAAAATTTTTTTTCGTAAAGAAAAAAAATTCGACAAAAATTTTTTTTCGTAAAGAAAAAAAATTCGACAAAAATTTTTTTTCGTAAAGAAAAAAAAATTCGACAAAAATTTTTTTTCGTAAAGAAAAAAAAATTCGACAAAAATTTTTTTTCGTAAAGAAAATAAATTCGACAAGAATTCTTTTTCGTATAGAAAAAAATTCGCCAATTTTTTTTTGTATAGAAAAAGAAATAAATAAAGGAAAAATACTAACAACAAAAAAAGTTTAAAACTTTCACAAAAACAACACAAAAAAAAAAACACACAATTTGTGTTTTATTTCGAAATGTAAATGGGGGTAAGTTTAATGTGTGACCGGGTTCCATAGTCTTTGGTTGCTGCTCTGGCTGTGTGAGATGTGTTTAGTAAGCAGTGGGGTTAAGTGACAGGGTTCACAAGTCATAACGGGCGTTTGTGGGATGAACTAATGGGAGAGAGTAATGATCACTCTCATTGATTGTGTTTTGCAGCTGTGTTCAGTTAGCATAAAGGGGGATTCACATATTTGGATATAATTGGAAATAAAAATAATTCAAGAGGATTAATAAAAAAACATAAATATTTCAGAAAAAATCGAAAAATATTTTTTTTCGTATAGAAAAAAATTTTTTTGTATAGAAAAAAAATTCGACAAAAATTTTTTTTCGTATAGAAAAAAATTCGACAAAAATTTTTTTTCGTATATAAAAAAAATTCGACAAAAATTTTTTTTCGTATAGAAAAAAAATTCGACAAAAATTTTTTTTCGTATAGAAAAAAAATTCGACAAAATTTTTTTTTCGTATAGAAAAAAAATTCGACAAAATTTTTTTTTCGTATAGAAAAAAAATTCGACAAAATTTTTTTTTCGTATAGAAAAAAAATCGACAAAAATTTTTTTTCGTATAGAAAAAAAAATTCGACAAAATTTTTTTTTTCGTATAGAAAAAAAAATTCGACAAGAATTCTTTTTCGTATAGAAAAAAAAATTCGACAAGAATTCTTTTTCGTATAGAAAAAAAATTCGACAAATTTTTTTTTCGTATAGAAAAAAATTCGACAAGAATTCTTTTTCGTATAGAAAAAAAATCGACAAGAATTCTTTTTTCGTATAGAAAAAAAATCGACAAGAATTCTTTTTCGTATAGAAAAAAATTCGACAAGAATTCTTTTTCGTATAGAAAAAGAAATAAATAAAGGAAAAATACTAACAACAACAAAAAAGGTTAAAACTCACAAAAAACAATTTGTGTTTTACTTCGAAATGTCAATGGGGGTAAGTTTAATGTGTGGCCGGGTTCCATAGTCTTTGGTTGCTGCTCTGGCTGTGTGAGATGTGTTCAGTAAGCATTGATGTTAAGTGACAGGGTTCACAAGTCATTTACTATAACGGGTGGTTGGTGGTTGTGGGATGAACTAATAGGGAGAGAGAGTAATGATCACTCTCATTGATTGTGTTTTGCAGCTGTGTTCAGTTAGCACAAGGATAGTTCACATATTTGTTAATGAATTAAAATAAATTAAGAGGATTAATGAAAAAATGAAAAACAAAAAATAAAAATTTCAGAACAAAAAATTCAGAACAAAATAGAAAAAAAATCGAAAAATATTTGTTCTTCTTATAAAAAAATGAAATTTTTTTTTCATATAAAAAATTTATATAAATTTAAAATAATTTCTTTGTATAGAAAAAATTCGAAAAATATTTTTTTGTAAAGAAAAAAATTGAAAAAAAAATTTTTTTTGTATAGAAAAAAATTGAAAAAAAATGTTCGTATAGAAAAAAATTTGAAAAAAAAGTTTTCATATAATAACAAAAACGACATAAAATAAATATTTCATTTCAATATGTTTATAAAGAAAATTTCAAAATGTTTATAAACAAATTCAATTTGTTTATAAAAAATTGTAATATTTTTATAAAAAATTTCAACGTTATTATAAAAAAATTAAATATTTCAAAAAATTCGCTATTTGTATAAAAAATTTAATTTTGTTTTTGCAAAATAGTCAGGCTTAATCCCAGTTTGTTGTTTTTATAAAAAAAAACAACTATTTATTAGTGGGGAATGTATGGCATTGTCCGCCGAGGGGTAAGGCAGGGAAGACTATAGTTTCGGATCTCGCCACTGATCCTCATCAGTTCCCTTAGTTTTTTGTTGGGATATTCTCCCCAGAAGCTATTAATAGCTTCTTTACAAAAAACCTTTCAAACCCAAATGTCTCTTATGACAATTCGAAGTTCTTACGTTACCAGCGATACGACCCCAATGAGAAGTTCGTTTCGTTGGCGCCTGACTTCGTGGTCAACAAGGCATTTACAGACAACTACAATACATTTCCCACTGCTATGTGTCGTCACTTTGTGACGAATGCACATAACGTTGTTGTTGGTATTGCTAGTTAAAGCAATAAACCAAACAGTATGACCGTGCCTCGTCTACAACTTCAGTAGTGTTTGGCGGGTTATTTGGGATACCATTTGTATTTTGTTTTTTCAAAATAGTCAGGCTTAATCCCATTTTGTTGTTTTTATAAAAAAACAACTATTTATTAGTGGGGAATGTATGGCATTGTCCGCCGAGGGGTAAGGCAGGGAAGACTATAGTTTCGGATCTCGCCACTGATCCTCATCAGTTCCCTTATAAAAAAATTCAATATTTTTATAAAAAAAATTCAATATTTTTATAAAAAATTAAATATTTTGTATAATTTTTACATACACACAAATTTTAGACAATATTATTCAAAAGATTATAATTTTTATACCCTTCACAACACTGTGGTACAGGGTATTATACCTTTGTGCATATGTTTGTGACAGGCAAAAGGAATCGAGATAGACCCGTGGTTCCTTTTGAGAATATCCACAGAATCACTTTCTGAGTCGATTGTCCGCATGTCCGTCCGTCTGTTGATGTTGAATTGTAAACAAAGTACAGGCCGCATTTATAATCCGATTTGAACGAAATTTAGCACAAGTCACTTATTTGACCCAGGGACGAACCCTATTCAAATTGGAGAAAATCGGTTCCGATTTCCATATAGCTGCCATATATAGTTTCACCCGATTTTAGGTAAATGGTGCACCAAAGTCCCTGAAAATCATTCGATTTGCACGAATTTTGGCATAGCGTATTGAATTATGTGCAGAATGACGTGTGCTAAGTTTCGTGAAAATCGGTTCAGATTTCGATATAGCTGTCATATATATTTTCGCCCGATTTTAGGTAAATGGTGGGCCAAAGCCCCTGTAAATCAATCGATTTGCACGAATTTTGGCATATCATACTGAATTAAGTCTAGAATGACATGTGCTAAGTTTCGTGAAAATCGGCTCAGATTTCGATATAGCTCCCATATATATTTTCGCCCGATTTTAGGTAAATGGTGGGCCAAAGTCCCTGAAAATCAATCGATTTGCACGAATTTTGGCATAGCGTATTGAATTATGTGCAGAATGACGTGTGCTAAGTTTCGTGAAAATCGGTTCAGATTTCGATATAGCTGTCATATATATTTTCGCCCGATTTTAGGTAAATGGTGGGCCAAAGCCCCTGTAAATCAATCGATTTGCACGAATTTTGGCATATCATACTGAATTAAGTCTAGAATGACATGTGCTAAGTTTCGTGAAAATCGGCTCAGATTTCGATATAGCTCCCATATATATTTTCGCCCGATTTAAGGTAAATGGTGCACCAAAGAATTTTGGCATAGCATACTGAATTAAGTCTAGAATGATATGTGCTAAGTTTCGTGAAAATCGGTTCAGATTTCCATATAGCTGCCATATTTAGTTTCACCCGATTTTAGGTAAATGGTGCACCAAAATCCCTGAAAATCATTAGATTTGCACGAATTTTGGTATGGCGTACTGAATTAAGTCTAGAATGATGTGTGCTAAGTTTCCTGAAAATCGGTTCAGATTTAGATATTGCTGCCATATATATTTTCGCCCGATTTTGGGTAAATGATGCACCAAAGTCCCTGAAAGTCATTCGATTTGCAGTAATTTTGATATAGCGTACTGAATTATGTGTAGAATGAAATTTGGTAGAAAAATTAGATCAATTTTTTTAGAAAAATTCGACCAGTTTTTTTTAGATAAATTCTACCAGTTTTTTTTTTTGAAAAAAATTCCATTTTTATTTCCATAATAATAAATAAATAAATATTTTTTAAAAATATAAATAATATGTCTACATAATAAATAAATATGAAAAAGTACTTAAATTAACTTGTCATTCCCTACAACTACACTTTCAATATTGTCCCACCTGGGCCTGACCCAATTGCGATGGGAATATGGCATTTTTGGCCAGCTTAATTGTGGCATCACGGCGCAAACGTAAAATGCCCTGTTCACCCCAGCTGGCATCGAAAGAATTCTGCAGAATCCAATAGTCCATCCCGGTATTGACATCTGTGTCATAACCAATGACAACCATAAAATGAGAACCACGAGTACGGCTATTCGATGGTTGGTAGATACCCTCCCCATAATGCATAAATTCAAAAGAGGCTGGATTGAATTCGACCACAACAGGGAAACCGGCGGCAACATAACGCCTCAATGCATCATCATCACCATCGGGGATCACAGAATATTGTGCCAAATTGGTGACAATTGTACCGCGTGGTACACACATACCCGGTTCAGATTGATTGTTATTGTTGGGGTATTCACCTTCGGTTAGTAAATCCATGCCGTATTGAGTCAAATAATCGAAGGCAGTTTGGGGTAATTGACTTTTGCAACCCTTGGCTCCACCAGCACAATCGAGAATATTTTGGGCGGACAAAGGTTGGGGACTAACATCACCGTCTTGTTGAGCTTGGAGAATTTCGATGGCCTTAACGGCAGCATAGGCCCAACCGCTGTTGCATTTTGTGCCCTGATTTTCCACATTGAACATAAAACCGAAATTCTTTGAGGGGTTATATGAGACGGGGGCTTCAATGGTATCGGGTCCAGGTTTGGCATTCGACACTGTGGGTGGTGTCACCGTGGGGAACAAGGCATTGAATTGTATCAAACGCATATCGGTGAATTGATTTATTTTCAGTTTAAAGGTTCTCTGGCCACGTTCGAACAGATTATTGTGATTATCGATCATTCGTTTATTGTAGGCATAATAATATTGGGCCAAGGCCTCGGCAGCGGCGGTGGGATACTGCTTTTGGAAAAGGTCCTGAAAAATAAAATTTTAGATTCATAAAAAAATTCTCCTTCCCAATATTTTTTCTCCTTTCTTACCTTATAATCTGTCCACTCCTGTGCCGGTACATGATTAATGGCTCCGGTACCATTCAAAGTGGCCAATACCAAGATGACAACTGCAAGACTCAAAATGTTATTCATTTTCTCTTGAATATGGTTTGATCACGACTAATCAATGATCTTGGCAATCAAAGAACTTTTATACTCCGAGTAAAATTGTTAATAAATTTCACTATTGTTTTTCTATTTATTTAATAAACTAACCCATTTTAGATTATCTTGTAGCCATTGCCTGGTTAGAGAGAGTGTGAGAGCGGGAAAGGGAGAGAGGCATATCCAACCAACTGTGCATCGTTGCGATCGGAAATATTTAACACCTTGTTATACCCAATACACATTCAGACACACTACTATAGGCAATACGGAATTTGTTTTTTAAGAAAAAAAATCGACCATTTTTTTTTTGAAGAAAAAAAAGCGACCAATTTTTTTTTTTTGAAGAAAAAAATGCGACCAATTTTTTTTTTAAGAAAAAAATGCGACCATTTTTTTTGAGAAAATATTTTGACCAATTTTTTTTGAAAAAAAAATTGATCAATTTTTTACAGAAAAAATGTTAACCAATTTTTTTGAAAAAAAAATTCGACCAATTTTTTTTGAAAGAAAAAAGTCGACCAATTTTTTTTTTGAAAGAAAAAATTCGACCAATTTTTTTGAAAGAAAAAATTCGACCAATTTTTTTGAAGGAAAAAATTCGACCAATTTTTTTGAAAGAAAAAATTCGACAATTTTTTTTTGAAACAAAATTTTGACCATTTTTTTTTGGAAGAAAAAAATTCAAATTGCCTCCACCTATCTAATCGACCAATTTTTTTACGGAGAAAAAAATTCAACAATTTTTTGAGATGCGATACGGAATTTGTTTTAGAATAAAAAAATTTGACCACATTTTTAGAGAAAAAATTTTGACCATTTTTTTTTTTTTGGAAAAAAATTCGACCAATTTTTTTGAAAAAAATCCAATCAAATTTTTTGGAAAAAAATTTGACCAATTTTTTTATGGAGAAAAAAATACGATCAATTTTTTTTGAAAAAATGCAGAATTTTTTTATGAAGAAAAAAATTTGACCAAATTTTTAAAGAAAAAATTTTGACCAATTTTTTTTTTGAAAAAAATTTTGACCAATTTTTTTTGAAAAAAATTTTGACAATTTGTTTTTTTTTTGAAAAAAAATCGACCCATTTTTTTAAGAAAAAAATTCAATTTTTTCCAAAAAATTTGACCAATTTTTTTATGTAGAAAAAAATTCGATCAAATTTTTTGGAAAAAAAATGTGACCAATTTTTTTTTTTGAAAAAATGAAAAAAATTGACCAATTTTTCTAATTTTACCGTTTTTTCTATTACAAACTGTCGTATATTACCTATATAATCGACCAATTATTTTACGGAGAAAAAATTCAACAATTTTTTCAGATGCGATACGGAATTTGTTTTTGAAGAAAAAAATTTTACCAATTTTTTTTTTTGAATAAAAAAACTTAACCAAATTTTTAGAGAAAAAATGTTGCCCATTTTTTTTTTTTGAAAAAAAAAAAATTCGACCAATTTTTTTTTGAAGGAAAAAATCCGACCATTTTTTTTTGAAGGAAAAAATTCGACCAATTTTTTTGAAGGAAAAAATTCGACCAATTTTTTTGAAAGAAAAAATTCGACAATTTTTTTTTGAAAAAAAAAATTTGACCATATTTTTTTGGAAGAAAAAAATTCTACCATTTTTTTAGAGGAAAAAAAAATTGACAATTTTTTTATACAGAAAAAAAAATCGATCAATTTTTTGGAAAAAAATTGAACTATTTTTCTAATTTTACCTTTTTTCTATTACAAATTGTCGTATATTACCTCCACCTATCTACCATCTGCTCAAAGCTTAGTGCATGCATACGTGTGTTGCTAACTAGTTAACAACAAGTGCGGATCAGCATCTGTAACCCATCGCCTACATTTGTAGGGTAAATATTTGTTCAAGAAGAGTTTCTTCTAACACTTTCTTTTCGTATTTTGCGTTTATTGATAGAAATGGAAATTCTTCGTTTGACTGCAGAGTCAGTGAAAGAAAAAGGTGCGATTTCAAAAGTAAATAAAATTATACCGTGCCCAAGTAACGATAGTTGTGGAGTAAATGTAGGGACGGAGGGATAGAGGCTGTGTAAATTGTAAAATTTTTGAATTATTATTTTTGAGCATTTTTGTGGGGGGATTTTCCTCAATTTGGACAATTATTCCCAGAACGAGTTATTATAGAAGATTGGTACCAATGGCGGAAATAGTCTCCATAAAATTTCACTAAGGGTCGACGAACAAACGGAATCGCTAGGTGTAGTGTATAACCTTTAAATATCGACGCAATATTTGGTAATTCAATTAAAGTTGCTATTTTTTGAACTTCTTTAAGTAATTTTTAATTTTGAGCTATTTTTACCAGATTTTTTTATTTGAGAGGCTTGACGTCATTGAAGGAAATATTCTGCAGAAAATTTCACTAAGGGTCAGCGAACAAATGAAATCAATAAGTGCGGTATATAACCTTCAAATATAACAAACAATTTGAATATAAAACAAACGTGATGCTTTTTCGGCTTTTTTGAAGGTCGGTTTCCAATTTCGACAATTTATCCTAGAATACTTCATTTAAGAGGTTTGGTGTAATGATTGAAAATATTCTGCTGACAATTTCACTAAGGGTCAGCGAACATACAGAATCGGTATGTTGGGTATATAGCCTTGAAATATTGCTTCTAATTTGGATTTTAAATAAAAATTATGTTTCTTGGGTATTTTGATACGTTATTTTCCAATTTAGATCATTTATCCCGGAATACCTCATTTTACAGGTTTGGTGTAAAGATAGAAAATATTCTATACACAATTTCAATAAGGGTCACTGCACAATCGGACTCGATAGGTGCGGTATATAACATTGATATTGCAATATTTATATCAATCAAAATTCATAATTTGGGCATTTAAGGTTGTTAAGGTTGTTTCCTAAAAAATACGATCAATTTTTTTTGAAAAAATGCAGAATTTTTTTATGAAGAAAAAAATTTGACCAAATTTTTAAAGAAAAAATTTTGACCAATTTTTTTTTTGAAAAAAATTTTGACCAATTTTTTTTGAAAAAAATTTTGACAATTTGTTTTTTTTTTTGAAAAAAAATCGACCCATTTTTTTAAGAAAAAAATTCAATTTTTTCCAAAAAATTTGACCAATTTTTTTATGTAGAAAAAAATTCGATCAAATTTTTTGGAAAAAAAATGTGACCAATTTTTTTTTGAAAAAATGAAAAAAATTGACCAATTTTTCTAATTTTACCGTTTTTTCTATTAAAAACTGTCGTATATTACCTATATAATCGACCAATTATTTTACTGAGAAAAAATTCAACAATTTTTTCAGATGCGATACGGAATTTGTTTTTGAAGAAAAAAATTTTACCAATTTTTTTTTTTGAATAAAAAAACTTAACCAAATTTTTAGAGAAAAAATGTTGCCCATTTTTTTTTTTTGAAAAAAAAAAATTCGACCAATTTTTTTTATAGAAAAAATTCGACCAATTTTTTTTTTTATAGAAAAAATTCGACCAATTTTTTTGAAAGAAAAAATTCGACAATTTTTTTTTGAAAAAAAAAAATTTGACCATATTTTTTTGGAAGAAAAAAATTCTACCATTTTTTTAGAGGAAAAAAAAATTGACAATTTTTTTATACAGAAAAAAAAATCGATCAATTTTTTGGAAAAAAATTGAACTATTTTTCTAATTTTACCTTTTTTCTATTACAAATTGTCGTATATTACCTCCACCTATCTACCATCTGCTCAAAGCTTAGTGCATGCATACGTGTGTTGCTAACTAGTTAACAACAAGTGCGGATCAGCATCTGTAACCCATCGCCTACATTTGTAGGGTAAATATTTGTTCAAGAAGAGTTTCTTCTAACACTTTCTTTTCGTATTTTGCGTTTATTGATAGAAATGGAAATTCTTCGTTTGACTGCAGAGTCAGTGAAAGAAAAAGGTGCGATTTCAAAAGTAAATAAAATTATACCGTGCCCAAGTAACGATAGTTGTGGAGTAAATGTAGGGACGGAGGGATAGAGGCTGTGTAAATTGTAAAATTTTTGAATTATTATTTTTGAGCATTTTTGTGGGGGGATTTTCCTCAATTTGGACAATTATTCCCAGAACGAGTTATTATAGAAGATTGGTACCAATGGCGGAAATAGTCTCCATAAAATTTCACTAAGGGTCGACGAACAAACGGAATCGCTAGGTGTAGTGTATAACCTTTAAATATCGACGCAATATTTGGTAATTCAATTAAAGTTGCTATTTTTTGAACTTCTTTAAGTAATTTTTAATTTTGAGCTATTTTTACCAGATTTTTTTATTTGAGAGGCTTGACGTCATTGAAGGAAATATTCTGCAGAAAATTTCACTAAGGGTCAGCGAACAAATGAAATCAATAAGTGCGGTATATAACCTTCAAATATAACAAACAATTTGAATATAAAACAAACGTGATGCTTTTTCGGCTTTTTTGAAGGTCGGTTTCCAATTTCGACAATTTATCCTAGAATACTTCATTTAAGAGGTTTGGTGTAATGATTGAAAATATTCTGCTGACAATTTCACTAAGGGTCAGCGAACATACAGAATCGGTATGTTGGGTATATAGCCTTGAAATATTGCTTCTAATTTGGATTTTAAATAAAAATTATGTTTCTTGGGTATTTTGATACGTTATTTTCCAATTTAGATCATTTATCCCGGAATACCTCATTTTACAGGTTTGGTGTAAAGATAGAAAATATTCTATACACAATTTCAATAAGGGTCACTGCACAATCGGACTCGATAGGTGCGGTATATAACATTGATATTGCAATATTTATATCAATCAAAATTCATAATTTGGGCATTTAAGGTTGTTAAGGTTGTTTCCTAATTTGTACAACTTATTTCAGAAAACTTCATCATAGAGGTTTGATGTCAATGTAGAAAATATTCTGCAGAAAATTTGACTAGGGGCCACCAAACAAACATAATTCGTATGTGCGGTATATAACCATGCAAAATTACAATCAATTTGGATTTTAAATTAAAATGATGTTTCTTGGGTATTTTGGTAGGTTATTTTTCAATTTGGACCATTTATCCCAGAATACGTCATTTTAGAGCTTTCACTACGGGTCACCGAGTAAACGAATTTTGTAGGTACAGTACATAAACTTTAAATAACACAACAATTTTTGGTATGAAACGAAAACGATGTTTTTTGGGCATTTTTGTAGGTCGGAAAACTTCGTTTTAGAGGCTTGATATCAATGGAGAAAATATTCTGCAGAAAATTTTACTGTGGTTTACCGAACAAATGAATTCCGTAGGTACAGTACATTAACTTGAAATAACACAACAATATTGGGTATGAAACGAAACAAAAAAGGTGCATTTTGGGCGTTTTTAGGAGGGTTTCCAATTTCCACAAATTATCCCAGAATACCACATTTTAGAGGATTGATGTCAATGAAGGAAATATTCTACAGAAAATTCTACTAAGGATCACCGAACAGACGAATTTGGTAGGTACAGTACATAAACTTGAAATAACACAAGATTCGGTATGAAACAAAAGTTATGTTTTTGGGCATTTTTATAGGTCAGTTTTTAATTTCGACAATTTATCCCAGAATACTTCATCTTAGAGGTATGATGTCAATGAAGAAAATATTCTACATTAAATTTCACTAAGGGAAACCGAACAAACGGAATCGATATATAAGCTTGAACAATTACAACCAATTTTATTATAAAATTAAAGTGAGCGTTTTAGAAATTTTTTGAATGTTGTTTCCAAATTTTTACAATTTATTCCAAAAAGCTTCACTTTAGAGGCTTGATATCAATGGAGGAAATATTCTACAGAAAAATCTACTAAGGGCCACCGAACAAACGAATTCTGTAGATACAGTACATAAACTTGAAATATAAAAACTAATTTTGTATATATATATAAAAGTGATAATTATTGGTATTTTTATAAGTGTTTTTCCAATATGGCTAATTTATCCCAGAGTAATTCGATTTAGAGGCTTGCTGTCAATGGAGAAAATATTCTGCAGAAAATTTTAGTAAGGGTCGCCGAACACATGACATTTGTGTGTACCGTACTTAACCTTGAAATATTACAACAAATTTGGATATAAAACAAAAGTTAATATTTTTACCATTTTTTGTAGGCTTTTTTTCAAATTGGGATAATTTCTCCCAGAATTCTTTATTTTAGATGATTGATGTGAATGGAGAAACTATTCTACAGAAAATTTTACTAGAGGTCGCTGAACATTCGGAACGTATAACCCCTGAATATAATCGTTAAATAAGACAAACAATTTAGGTATGCAAAAAAAAGTAATATTTTTGGGCATTTTTCGTAAGTTATTTCTCAATTTGGAGCATTTTTCCCGGAATCCGTTATTTTAGAGTTTTGATGTCAATGGAGAAAATATTCTACAGAAAATTCCACTAGAGGTCGCCAAACTTTCGGAATATGTAGCTGCAGAGTATAACCTATAAATATCACATATAATTTGGATATAAAGCAATAGGGATATTTTTGGTAATTTTTGTAGGTTATTTTACAATTTGGGTAAATTCCCCCGGAATGGTTTATTTTGGAGGGTTGATGTCAATGGAAAAAATATTGTATAGAAAATTTCACTAGGGGTCGCTGAACATTCGGAACGTGTAACTGCAGAATATAACCTTAAAATATATCAAATAAGTTGAATATGCAAAAAAGTAACATTCTTGGATATTTTCGTAAGTTGTTTCAAAATTTGGGCAATATATTCCGGAAAACTTAATTTTACAGCTTTGGAACCAATGGAGAAAATATTCTACAGAAAATTTCACTAGAGGTCGCTGAACATTCGGAACGTGTAACCCCAGAATGTAACCTATAAATATCACAAACAATTTGGATATACAAAAATGTGATATTTTTGGGAATTTCCGTAAGTTGTTTCAAAATTTGAAAATTTATTCCGAAAAAATTAATTTTATAGCTTTGGAACCAATAGAGAAAAACTTTGGGAAATTTCGTTAGTTATCTCAAAATTTGAGCAATTTATTCCAGAAAAATTTATTTTATATGGTTGATGTCAATGAAAAAATATTCTACAGAAAATTTCACTAGGGGTCGCTGAATATTCGGAATATGTAGCTGCAGAATATAACCTATAAATATCACAAACAATTTGGCTATAAAGCTATATGGATATTTTTGGTCATTTTTGTACGTTATTTTACAATTTGGGTAAATTCCGCCGGAATTGATTATTTTAGAGTATTGATGTTAATGGACAAAATATTATATAGAAAATTTTACTAGGGGTCGCCGAAAATTCGGAACATTTTGCTGCAGAATATAACCTTAAAATATTAGAAATAAATTGAATGTATAAAAAGTGATATTTTTGGGCATTTTCGTAAGTTGTTTCAAAATGTGGACAATTTATCCCAGAATGCGTTATTTTAGAGCTCTGGTATCAATGGAGAAAATATTATACAGAAAATTTCACTAGGGGTCGTTGAACATTCGAAATATGTTGCTGCAGAATATAACCTATAAATATAACAAACAATTTGGATATAAAGCAATAGGGATATTTTTTGTAGTTTTTGTAGGTTATTTTACAATTTGGGTAAATTCTGCCGGAATTGTTTATTTTAGAGGGTTGATGTCAATGGAAAAAATTTTGTATAGAAAATTTCACTAGGGGTCGCTGAACATTCGGAACGTGTAACTGCAGAATATAACCTTAAAATATTAAAAATAAATTGAATGTGCAAAAAAGTAACATTTTTGGATATTTTCGTAAGTTGTTTCAACATTTGGATAATTTATTCCGGAAAACTTAATTTTAGAGCTTTGGTATCAATGGAGAAAATATTCTTTAGAAAATTTCACTAGGGGTCGCAGATCATTCGGTGCATGTAGCTTCAGGATATAACCTATAAATATCAAAAACAATTTGGATTTTTAAAAATATTATATTTTGAAGCATTTTTGTTATTTTTCCTAATTTGGACAATTTATCCCAGAATGATTTATTTTAGAGTTTTGATGTCAATGGAGAAAATATTCTACAGAACATTTCACTAGATGTCGCTGAACCATCGGATCGTGAAACCCCAGAATTTAACTTATAAATATCACAATTTGGATATTTAAAAAAGTTATATTTTTGGGTATTTTCGTAAGTTATTTCCCAATTTGGACAATTTATCCCAGAACTCATCATTTTAGAAGATTGACGTCAATGGAGGAAATATTCTACAAAAAATTTCACTAGAGGTCGCTGAACATTCGGAATATGTAGCTGCAGAATATAACCTATAAATATCGCAAACAGTTTGGATATTTAAAAATATGTGATATATTTGGGCATTTCCGTATGTTGTTTTAAAATTTGGGCAATTTATGACAGAATGCTTCATTTTAGAGTTTCGATATCAATGGAGAAAATAATCTACAGAGAATTTCACTAGGGGTCGCTGAGCATTCAGAACATGTAGCTGCAGAATATAAACTTGAAATATCAAAAACAATTGGGATATACAAAAAATTTATATTTTTGAGACTTTTCCCCGATTGTTTTTAAATCGGGGCTAATTTTCCAACAACGCTTCATTTTTCAGATCTGGTGTCAATGGACAAAATATACTTTATCGAATTTTACTATAGGCTGCCGAACAAAATTTTTAAGTTTATTGAATATATACCTACGAAATTTCACTTTTAATACAGTGATCTTAATTTGTGGGTCGAATTTATTTTGTCTAGTTAGGGTGAAAAAATTTTTGAATTTTTTTTAAATATTTATTGAAGTAATTAAAATAATTTTTATTTGCACAATTAATTTAAATTATTTTTTTTCTATTTTATTTATTTTTTTATTTTTTAACCCAAAACACTTGGGAATATGGCATTTTTGGCCAATTTCACATTCGTATTTCTTAGCAGCCTAACAAAGCCCCTTTCACCCCATGTCCTGCCAAAGGAGTTCAACAATAACCAATAATCCAATCCTGTCACCGCATCCCTTTCATAACCAATGACAGTCATAAAATGTGAACCCCTAGTGGCGGTAGTTGGCGGTTCATAGATACCCTCCGAATAATGCATAAATTCAAATGAGGTGGGATTTATTTCCACAATGACTGGAAATCCAGAACCAATATATTTTCTCAAAGATTCATCATCATTATCTTTGACGACAGAATATTGTGATAATTTCACGCCAGTGTTGCCACGTACCAAACACATACCAGCCTCCGTCTGATTGATATCATTTGGGTATTCCGACTCCGGCATCAATGGCATCTCGTACTTCGACAAATAATCGAACACTGTCTGGGGCGCTTGATTGGTACAGGCTGTGGTTTGGCCAGCACAATCGATCAATTGTTGAGCGGACAGGGAGGCAGGAGTGAAATTTCCCGTTTGAATGGCATTGAAGATTTCAATTGATTTGACAGCGGAATATGACCAACCACTATTACAGGCCATACCTTGATCTTCAATTTTAATGGTGTAACCGAAATTTTTCGAAATATCATATGTGGGTGGTATGACAGTTGGTATTTGGGGTGGTGGTGAGGCATTTGAGATTGTGGGTGGTGTGGCCACTGGGAACATGGCATTGAAGTGTATCAATCGCATATCGGTAAATTGATTTTCGGCCAATTTGAAAGTCTTCTGTCCCCGTTCATATTGGCTATTGTGTTGGGCCATCCATTCCACATTGTAGGCATAATAAAAACGGGCATTACTCTCGGTTGCGGCGTTCGGATAGGTTTTGTTGAATTTCAGCTGAAAAGAGAGAGAGAGAGATGGAGAGAGAAAGAAAACAACAACAATTGGGATTATTATGGGAAAACAATGTGTGGGGAATTTTTGGGTGTTTTTGGGGATAGTTTTTAAAAATTATTTTTCACAGTGATCCCTACATTTTAGCTATAAAATTTCAAAGGAGAAAATATTCTTCATCAAATTTGACAATAAGTCGCCGAAATAAAGAAGTCTGTAGCTCTAATATTTACCGTTCAAATATCTGGAACAAATTTGGGAAAATTAAAAAAAAAGTGGTTTTGTCAATTTCAAAGGCATTTCTAATTTTGGTCGATTTATCCCAAAATAAGTAATCCTAGGGGGGTGATGTCAATGGAAAAAATATTCTATACCAAATTTTACTATAAGTCACGAAGATAAAGAAGTCTGTAGGTCCGATATTTATCATTCCAATAAAGCTATCAAATTTGGGTAAATAAACAAAAAATCTTTTTAGGGTCAAATTCGAAGGCGATACAAATTTTGACCATTTAAATCCACAAAACCTCATTTTTGGAGGTAGATGTCAATGGAAAAATTATTCTACACCAAATTTCATTCTAGGTCACGGAAATAAAGAAGTCTGTAGGTCCGATATTTACCATTCAAATATCACTATCCAATTTGGATAAATAAACAAAAAATCTTTTTTGTGTCAAATTTTAAGGTGTTACTAAGTTTGACAATTTAAACCCAGAAAACTTAATTTTTGGGGGTAGATGTCAATGAAAAAATTATTCTACACCAAATTTCACTATAGGTCACGGAAATAAAGAAGTCTGTAGGTCCGATATTTACCATTCAAATATCACTATCAAATTTGGGAAAAGAAATAAAAAAAATCTTTAGCCCCAAAAAAATTAATTTTTGGAGGTAGGTTCCAATAGGAAAAAATAATCTAAACAAAATTTCATTATAAGTCACCGAACACAAAAAAATCGGTATATATAATAATTAACGTTTAAAAAATTATAAAAAATTGGTCAAATAAAAAATAAAATGATTTTTTGGTCGATTTCATACTGTTTTCTTCGAAGAAGTACAAATTTGGCCTACAGAACCCTATTTTACAGCAATGTTACTAATGATAGAAATATTCCTCACAAAATTGTAATATATGTCATCAAAAAAACCGATTCCAAAGGTGTACGGTTTAACCTTCAAATTTGAACAACAAATTTGGTTATTAACCAAAAGTGATGCTTTTTTGGGCGTTTTTTAAGGTTATTTCAATATTTTGACAAATTTTTCCCAGAAGACATTATATTAGAGGTTTGATATCAATAGTGGAATTATACTACAGAAAATTTCACTAAGGGTCCCCGAACAAACGAAATCGATAGGTGCAAAATATAACCTTTAAATATTACAATCAATTCGGATATAAAATAAATGTGATGATTTTTGGGCATTTTTTGTAGGTTATTTCGCAATTTGGACAATTTATTCCAGAACGCCTCATTTTAGAGGATTGTTGTTAATGGAGGAAATATTCTACGGAAAATTTCACTAAGGGTCACCGAACAAATGGAATCGATAGGAGCAGAATTTAACAATAAAAAATTAGGAGAGATTTGGAAAAATTTATTTTTTGGGTATTTTTAATATTGTTTTTCCAATTTGGGAATTTTTTTCTCAGAATTCGTATGTTTAGGGCGTTGATATTAATGGAGGAAATATTCTACAGAATATTTCACTAAGGGTTGCCGAATAAACGGAATATGTAGGTATACAATAAACCTCCAAAATATACGAACCAATTTTGGTATAAAAGTACATAGGATTTTTTTGGTAAATTTTTAATATATTTTCAATTTGGCCCATTTCATGTCAGGAGACTGTATTTTAGGGGCTTGGTAAGAATAAAGAAAATATTCTACAGAAAATTTTAGTAAGGTTCACTGAATATGCGGAACCTGTAGGTGCAGTATATAACGTTAAATGATCGCCACAAGTTTGGATATAAAATAAAGGTGACATTTTTGGGAGAGATTTTAAGGTTATTTTAAAATTTGAATATTTTCTGGCACTTTTTTGAGGAATCCTTATGGTGTGGATTGGTGTCAATGAGAGAAATACTCTCCATAAAGTTTCATTCAGGGTCGCCGAATAAATGAAATATGTAGGTCCATAATATAACCCTATAATGCCTAATAAAAGCAAAAATGATATTTTTGGGACATTTTTTAAGGTTCTTTCACAATTCGGTCAATTTTTTAGCGAATAATTTATTTTAGAGAATTATTTTCAATGAGAGAAACATTATCCGCAAAATTTCATTAGGAGCCACCGAACATCAGAAATATGCAGGTCCATAATATAACCCTATAATATCACAATGAATGTAAACATGATATTTTTGGTTAATTCATTAACAATTTGGTCATTTTTTGGAAATAATTTATTTTGGGGAATTGATGTCAAGGATAGAAATATTCTCCACAAAATTTCATTAGGGGCCACCGAACATCAGAAATATGTAGGTCCAGAATGGAACCCCATAATGTCACAATGAAAGTAAACATGATATTTTTGGTTAATTTTTTTAGATTCTTTCACAATTTGGTATTTTTTTAGGAAATAATTTATTTTAGAGAATTGATTTCAAGAAGAGAAATATTCTCCATAAAATTTGTCACCGAACTTCAGAAATATGTAGGTCCACAATGGAACCCTATAGCATCACAATTAGAAGAAAATTGTTAATTTAGGGTATTTTTTACAGGTTATCTCAACATGTGTCCATTTTTGTCTGGAACATTTTATTGTAGAGAGTTGATGTCAATGAGAGAAATAATCTCCACAAAATTTCATTATGAGTCGCCGAACAATAAAAATATGTAGGTCCACAGTGGAACCCTGTAATATCACAATTTAAAGAAAAGAGTTATTTTTGTGTAATTTTTAAAGTTTCTCTAAAAATGTTGCCATTTTTGTCAAGAAAATTTTATTTTAGAGAGTTGATGCCAAGGAGAAAAATATTCTCCATAAAATTTCATTAGTGGTCACCGAACATAAGAAATATGTAGTTCCAGAATAGAACCCTATAATGTCATAATTAAAGTAAAAGTGTTATTTTTGGGTATTTTTAAGGGTTCTCTAACAAATTCGTCGATTTTTTCTGGAAATACTTTAATTTAGAGAATTGATGTCAAGGTCAGAAATATTCTCCATAAATTTTCACTGAGGGTCACCGAACATCAGAAATATGTAGGTCCATAACATAATCCTATAATGTCACAATTAAAGTAAAAGTGTTATTTTTTGGGTATTTTTTAATTTCTTTCACAATTTGGTCGATTTTTTGTGGAGTACGTTATTTTAGAGGGTTGATACCAATGGAAAAAATATTCTACACAAAATTTCACTAAGGGTTGCCTATAAAAAGAAAATTGTAGATCCTGAGGGGTTCCACAATGGAACCCTATAACATCACAATTAAAGTAAAAGTGGTATTTTTGGGCCATTTCTTAAGGTTCTTTCACTATTTGGTCGATTTTTTCCGGAAATACTTTAATTTAGAGAATTGATGTCAAGGTCAGAAATATTCTCCACAAAATTTCACTAAGGGTCACCGAACATTAGAAATATGTAGGTCCATAATATAACCCTATAATGTCACAACCAAAGTAAAAGTGTTATTTTTGGGTATTTTTTAATTTCTTTCACAATTTGGTCGATTTTTTGTGGAATACGTTATTTTAGAGGATTGATGCCAATGGAAAAAATATTCTAAACAACATTTTACTAAGGGTCGCCGTAGAACATAAATTTGTAGGTCCAGAATGGAACCCTATAATGTCACAATGAATGTAGTGGTTATATTTTTGGGTCTATTTCAAGGTTCTTTCACAAATTGGTCGATTTTTCCGGGAATACTTTAATTTAGAATTTTGATGTCAATGGAAAAAATATTCTCCACAAAATTCCACTAAGTATCGCCGAACACATATAACCTGTATCTGTATAATTTAAGCTTTAAATAATATCCTCAAAATAACATATTCAAAATTTGGTATACCAAAACACTATTTTAGGGTCAATTTCATGGTTTTTCGAATCGATGCCGGTTTGAGCCACAATATTTAAGTGTTGTGGATTTGTGTTAAAGCAGAAATTATTCTACACAAAATTTCAGCATAACTCTCCGAAGTAAGTAATTCTGTAGGTACGATCTATAACAATTAAATATCACTTCTAATACAGATAATATATATATATATATATATATTTTCATTTTTCTTATGAATTGTGTTTTCATTTATTTCAAAACTGTTTCCAAACACGATTTTTCACAAAATATATTCAATATTTTTTTCACCCACATACCTTATATTTATTCCATTGCGCATCGGGTACATAGACACCGTAACAAATATCAATAGCTACCACTGCCACAAGGACCAGGACCCAACACGATTTTGGAGAAAACATTTCACTCTGCGGGCACTCAAAAATCCAACTAAAAGTTAATTATATTAGAAGTGTACCCAAAACCATTCCTATTTATGTATTTTTCACAATTATCTAATGAAGGTGTGTTTAGAAGATAAACGAATCTCTTTAATATTTATTTTGGCTTTATGGCCAAACACAATTTTCGGCTACTTTTAATGATTTTCATTTTTTTTATTTTTTGGAAAAGATAAGACAGAGACAATGATTTGTCAGTTTTTATGGTAATTCCCTAAGATGTTTTTTGTTTTGTAAACATATTATGGTAGAATATTTCCATTGCATTGCAGAAAATCCATTTCGCAAATATTTATTCACATTGGAAAAATGTGAAATTAATTACCCAAATTCGAAGACATAGCGGATTGGTGTAGCAATACAATAAATAGCTTCTAATAAATATAAATTAGAGAAAAAAATAAAATTCTGTAAATAACTTTAAGAAACCCGGTTATCAATAATGAGTAACCGGTTCCCAATGCAAGTAATAGGTTCCAAAAATTCATATTTTTGGTTCATAATTTCATTTATATGTTAATGTGATAATTTTGAAGCCAATAACCGGTTGATAACGATAAGTAATCGGTTTACAAACACCGAGTAATCGGTCTTAATATACAACTTTATATTAAAAAATTATATATTTTTGTTCATTAAACCATAAATATGCATTTAAAACATTTTTTTTTGTATGAACAACCGGAAAACGCCAACGAGTAATCGGTAGAAAAGGCAAGTAACCGGTACCAAAAAAGTACCCGATACAAAAAAAATTAATTTTTTTGAGTACATCAGACCAATAATATATTAATCTGATGATTTTATAGCTAATAACCGGTTGAAAACGATGAGTAATCGGTTTAAAAACTCCGAGTAACCATTCCGAAAACACAAACAATTTATTAAAAAAATTCAATTTGATCCTTCATTATCTCTATAATATATAAATAATGTATTTTAGTATGCGTTAGCAGTAAAAACAACGAATAATCGGTGTCAAAAAAGTAACCATACTCATATGAAAATAATAGGTTCTAAAAATTCAAATATAAATGCGAACATATGAAGTCGTAGCTGGTTTTACATAGGAATTTGATAATAACCTTAATAAACCCGATATTTAATAATGAGTAACCGGTTCACAAAACAAGTAATTGGTTTCAAAAATTCTAAAAATTCCAATACAAATGTGAAGATAAAGCGATCATAGCATGTTCTACAAAGAAATTTGAAAATAACTAAAAATTTTGATAATAACCTTGAGAAATCCGGTATTTTATAATGAGTAACCCGTTCTCAAAGCAAGTAATTGGTTCCAAAAATTAAAATGTTGGCTTTATAAGCCTATTTGTACACCAATTTTTATTATTTTGAAGCCAATAACCGTGGAAGACGATAAGTAACCGGTTTAAAAACACCGAGTAACCACTTTCAAAACCTAATTATCCGGGTTAACATAAACTGTATAATGACATGCAAAGCCAAAGTATCTGTTTTTGAATAAAACGTATAAACTTTTGAGAGCGGTTTTTTTATTAAGTTCATGTGTTTTACAAATATTCCGACATAAAAGGGGCGAGTAACCGTTTACAAAACCGAATAATCCATTCTTAAAATGGAAATAATTGGTTTTATAATACATAAATATGGTTGTCATAATGATTTTACAATAAAAAAGTCTGAGTAACCGGTTCAAAAAACCGGGTAACCGGTTTTCAAAAACCGAAAAACCGGTTCAAGAAACAGATTAAAAATTTTCAGTTTTAAATGTGCTTTTAAACTTTAAACAAGTTTATACCATAATTTAACGATTAAACCCCATCCCATTTCAAATCAATTTTTATTACATCTAAATCAAGACAATCATTTGAAAAGGGTACGGGGATCCTGTTTTTATTGTGTATAAACATGATTTATAATTGAAATCATACTCAACAGGTTTCAAATCAAATTCACATAATTCACAACATGCGCCAACAGTATTGTATTAAACGCTTTAATGCATCATGCACCACACCAGACACCGCTGCTGATGTGCATCGGCGGATGATTGCAACTGCTTAAACATATCACCACCACCTGACACATGAAATGTTTTGTAAATTTCAAAATTACAAAGAAGGCCCAACAACACATGTCGCTATTAACAATGCGTGTAATACAACAATTTTAATTGTGTGTTAATTATTTAGAAAAATAACAACATTTAGGAAAAAAAATACTAACAAAAAATGCAATTTGAAAAGAGATATTTGAAATACAAAGAGCGCTTATTCGGTTTGGGAAATTATTTTGGAACTGGTTTACTGTTGTATGAGACCAAAACATAATTCTCAAAAATTAGGCTTATCATTTCATTAAATTGTGAAGATTTCTCGACGATATGTATCTCTATTGAGTACCGGTTATTCGGTTTTTTTATGAAATAATTTTTTTAATAACCTTCTTAAATGTTCTCAAATAGTAATGAAAATTAAGTTCTTTGTATTTTGAAAATATTATCAGACATTTTGGTACATTTTTGTAACCGGTTATTCGGTTCAAAATATGCAAAAATTTCTTGTTTTTATGAAAAAAATTATTTAAAAATACATTACAGTAGACCACAAACTCATACAAATAAAATAACCAAAAAATCTAATAATTTTTGTAACTTTTGTAACCGATTACTCGGTTCATATACTGTAATTTAACAGTTTTCATTACAGTTATAGCATATAACGGTTCGTTACTCAAATCTGATGCTTTTAACTTTAAACTTTAACTAACTTTTAACACTTTTAATATTATATTGGACATTTTGGGAAGTTTTTTGCAAACCGGTTATTCGGTTCAATTTTTGTATTTTACAATATTTCAAAAAAACTTTCAATAAATATCAACTCATTATAATTATAAAATATATTTATTCCATTATTGGAAGTCAAATACGGTATATTGTAATTTTTAGAACCGGTTATTCGATTCAAAATATGTAAAAATATATATTTTTGAAGAGAAGAAGATATACAAATATTTCAAAACATATCCAAGAAATATATATTTAACGAAATTCGTAGAAATTGTAAGAAAATTTGGAATTTTAATGAACCGGTTATTCGGTTCATATGTTGTAAATTAAAAATGTTGATTAATTTTATAACAGATAAAGGCTTACATTACAAAATCAAATTCATTTGTGGTCATTTTTAATATTACATCCGAGATTTTTGGAACTTTTTCAAATCGGTTATTCGGTTCACATTTCATAATATTTCGATAAACTGTCAATAGATATCAATTCTTTATAATAAAATACGTTGTTTATATAACTAAAAGTCAAATACCAAATGTTTAATATTACATCCAGCCATTTTTGGAACTTTTTAAAACCGGTTAATCGGTTCAAATTTTAATATTTTACAATATTTTGAAAAATTGTCAATAGCTTTAAACTTCTCATAATAATAAAATAACATTTTTATAATAATAAAAGTAAAATACGTTATATTTGTCTATTTTGGAACCGGTTATTCGGATCAAAACATGTAAAAAATCTATTTTTTGAGAAAGAATATATATAATTATTATGTAAAATATTCACGAAATATGTTTGATCAAATTCGTAGAATTTGTAATAATTTTTTTTTTTATTTTTATGAACCGGTTATTCGGTTCATGTATTGTAAATTAACAGTTTTTATGAATGTTGTTGCAGTTAGATGTTCGATACCCAAAACCAGATTATTTTTTGGTCAATTTTAATATTATATACGACATTTGGGTAACATTTTTGAAACCGGTTATTCGGTTAAATTTTCATATATCACAGTATTCCTATAACAATAAAATACAGATTTTCCATTATTGAAAGTAAAATACGTTATTCGGTTAAAAATATATTTTTTATGATTTTTGGAACCGGTTATTCGGTTCACTCCCATATATTTGGTATTTTTCAAAATGTTTTTTTTTTCAGATAATTTGACTTTATTATTAATTAATGCATTTTTTATTTTTGAGAATTTAAGTATGCCGTTATTTTGGGAACCGGTTTTACGCGCCTGATCTATATAATGTTATTTTTGAAATTAATTTTTATTATTCTAATTGTTTATTCATTTATTAAATAGAATGCAATTCTAGGAAGGGGATTACCTGGACAAAAAAATATTCAAAAATTATCAACAATATTTTTTTAATTACTCCAAACTTAGTACACAAATATGACAGCGTCATTTGTTTGTATATACGTATGTCGTAAAATTTTATAATATCGGGGATTTTTTGTTATATTTTCTTATAGCAGGTGGGTGGGTGTTAGGCAAACGAGACTAACGATTACCAAATATAATATATACTAGCGAGTGCCTGCTACTTCTTAAGAGGAAAGGGGAAAAAATAAATAAATAATTTTTATATGAAAAACCCGAATACTATATACACATATTCGAATTTCACTTCTATTCCTACACCTACTATCAAGTTTATTAGCATTTAGTACCCTACATACACCTAAGCACTCGATTCTGAAATCTCTTTCTTTTTTCCTTTATACACAGTCAAAAGTGATCAGAATTTCAAATACGCATTTTTGGCAAATACCCACAGGTTCCACATTTAGTTCCATTCAACATTTTATAAAAAAAATGTTTCCCCATTTTTTGTCCTCCCCTCGTTCCAATAAGAAACGAAAGTTCCACAAAATTACTTGCAAAGAACAATAAAAACAATTTGATGATATTTCTCTCCTTTCCCACCCCCCCCCAATCACGGAAAATCCTCCATTGTGTGGTAGTAAATTCAAATCGATTTTCCCACTCATAATGCGTACGGGTCTTCCATCTCACCCCGTCATAACCTACCCCACCCCGCCATAACCTACCCCACCCCAATAATTTATTTTGACCATAAACGAAATATTTGCCAAACAATTGTCTGTGGCAAACAACAAGAATGTTCTTTACAACAACACACAAATAAACAAACAAAAAATCCAA